GATTTTACTTAAGTGGGTGTAGGTACCTCAGCTGGGAAGGCTGGTTCTAAAAACACATACTAACGTCTACCCTATGCAAAAGTGAGAATATCCCCGCCCTAGAATACAGAGGAAAAGAGAAGGTAAACATGAGTTAAGGGGTAAGTATGTTTATATTTATGGGGAATGGCATGGTTTACTGAGGGGGAGGGATTTCAACTAGTCTGTGCAATGTGGCTTAAGGTGAGGGAGATTTATAACTGGACTTGAGTGAATTGAAGAAAAACTATTTCAAGAAGCTTTCACTAAGTGTCCTAGTTTGTTATGGCATTGCCAACAGAAGTACATAAGACTGCATGATTTATAAAGAAGATACTTATTTACGAAATGCACGATTCTGGTGGCTGTAAAGTCCAAAGGTCTAAGCCCACAACATGGCTGACAGAAACATAGTGGGTACATACAGAGAAGAGACCAGTAGATTGGTCTCTCTCCCTCTTCCATTGCAACCAACTCTCATAAGAACTGACCTGTCCTCACAAGGTCTGAAACTCTGTGGGTCTCATGAGAGATCATGAATCTGTTCCCCCGAGTGTTGATCCCATGATGCAATCACTATGATCCCATCACTGCCCACCAGACGTCTCCACCTCCCAACGCCAAATTCCAGAACATGAAACTCTGGGGAGCAAACCAAGATCCCAACCGTGACACTGACTTAATGGTGCTGTGTGGAGGATGCCCCAGATGGAATGTAAGAGCCGTAGATGAACTGCGGGGGACCTGGGGTTCCATTAAATGTGTGTCTGTGGGCTGGACCACATCCCACTGCTACATCATGTAACCTCAACAATGAAAGTTGAGGTTGGATTTTTTTTTTTTTCTCCTTGCTCTTGATTATGGGAATGAACACATACGAAATCGTGGGACTTTGCAATCCCATACCAGTTTCTAACGGGGAAAGAATGTTGTTTATTGGAAGAACCAGGAGGGGACAAAAGAGGCATGCTTATTTTACATGGCAGATGAAATTCCCACCACTAGGAGGAAAAGAAGGCCTTGGATTAAAAACGACAAAGGATTTTGGCCTGAGAAGTGGTTGCAAAGGAATACAGAGGAAAGTGATAAAGGAAGAGTTCAGACAGAAGGCGAATATGATGGTACCTACGGGACTTTCTGGACAGTGGAGCTCAGCAGGAAGAGAAACGGTATCTGAGTACTATTATCTAAAGTATATGTTGCCTGCACTGTAAGAAGAGATATTTAAGAAATATAATGGAAACAGGGACCCGTAGATGACATAATGGTTACATTGATGGACTCCTATGTAGCTGACTGCATGCAGTTCGAGTCCCAGGCTCAGCAGCTTGAAACTCACGCCAGGCGTGTGTGTATGCATGTCCAAAATCCCGAAAGGAGATGGAGCAGAGGTCGTGGCATGGCCATCCTTCCTAGGGGAAGGATGATTTCTTGCTTCCTGACTCTCTGTCTCTGTGGAGAGTGCACATACCCTACAGCAAAAATCTCTCCAAAAAAATGCAATAATTGAAACATGAATGTGAATTAGAAGATCTTTAAGTTTATAGGGAGGAGACAATGGCTTGGAGAAGGGAAAGAACTGGAGAGATCCCACATATCCTTCAAAATTAGAGACCAGGCTTCTGAAGAATTGAGTTTCTGGAGAGAAAAGAAAGAGAAAAATGAATAGTGGCTTCTGAGTGTTTGGCTTGAGCGTCGGGGTGAATGGTGGGGTTGTTTCCTGAGACAGGAGAGTCTGGGAGAGGAACCGGGTGAGGAGGTCAAGCCTTGGCTATTGGATGCTTTGCATTTGAAATACCTGCTGGCCTTCCAAGTGGAGTTGAGTCTTCTGGGGCTTGAGTGTGCAGGGTGGGAGATGAGAGAGGTCATTAGCACAGAGATGGCTGCTAAACCCATGATTTCCATGACAGTGCCAGGGGCCCGATGGCCTTCTGACCTCTTTCACTCTCCCCCCACTCTGTGTTCACCGCCCTCCCACACTTTTTTCCTGCTCTCAGATGCTGCATCTCTGCGGAATGGTGACTGTGCCTGGGAGCCCCTGGCTCACGCTGTCTGTGGGACCTCCTGAGAAACCACACGACTCTCATTGCCTACCTCCATGTTACTTCTTTGTTCATGGTCTTTTTAAGTCTGTTTAAGATTTTTTTCTTGGAGCCAGCAGGTGGCATGGTGGTTAAAGGCATTGGGTTCCCACATGGCTGACCATGGTTCAAGTCCCAGACCTGGCA